GCTTCTTCATATCCTTGGTTATTAGAAACTTTAGCCCTAACTATAAACTACTGTGTATGATAGTCATAGTACAGTTAAAAGGTTGAACTTTGAATAACTTTTCATATTTTGCTCTAACAAAAAGAATTCCTTTTCTTCTTAGTTAATGTTCAGGTAATAGTGATACCAGAATAAGAATAAAATATTTTATTCGTGTAAATGTGGTGCATTATTATTATAATTTTTCAAAGAAAGAATTATAATTCTAAAACACTTCTTTCTCATTTGCTCAGGTCTATGCAAAACACGAGGAGAAGACAGAGAGCAAATCAGTATACAGGGAGTACAACCGTGAGTTCCTGTTACCTAAAGGAACTAATCCCGAGAGCATCAAGTCTTCGCTGAGCAAAGATGGCGTACTCACTGTCGAGGCTCCACTACCAGCAATCAATACGCGCGAGAAGCTCATCCCAATCTCACACCAGTAGACACCCAATCAACTGGACGAATACACGAGAAAATGATCCTTAAAACTCCCTCCGAAATTCCATCATTCGTGTGTCCGTCAGATCGCTCCCTTCCCATCCTTTCCATCAATTCCCGTAAGTCCATTTCTTTCTTCTCCTTTTTCTCCTGTTTAGCTTGTTTTCTTTTTTCTTTTTTCACTTTTTGTTTTTTCTCCACTCTTTTGCTGTGAATACCCGTTTCTCTTCTCCGCTGTTCAATTCACTTGAGTAACGCACTTTCTTTTTTAATTTGAATGGATTTTATGAATTTTTTTTTTTTATTTTGTAAGAAAATATTTTTTTTTCACTTCCTGATTGAAATGATCGTGATTTTACATCCAGTGTTCAAATTTTTACATAAAAGAAATATGTTAAATCATGACGAAGAAACGAGTACCAGCGGAAAAATTCGAGGTTCGCAGTGAAGCATGTTTACGAAACGCGTTCAACAAGCAAGCTCCCGCGTGAAAACTTGGGATTGTAGCTTTCCGGCTAAATTACTCGAGTCTCCGCAAGGTACAAGTTCAAAAAGAAAGTGTGTCAAACACATTTCTTCCTCCGAAAAAAGTAAAACAAAAAACATATTCATTCGAATAAACATTTCACAAGTACCAAAATGTTTAGCCCTCCCATAAATCTATAAATTATTTTTTATACTTTTTGAATAAAAATTCATAGTTATTATTCAGGGTGGTCAAGAGCAAAATTCTTGCGTTAAAAAATAGAACATAACCTAAAAGGGCTACATAAGAAACGATAATCAAATGTCGATGAAACAAAAAAAAAATTTCTTTATTGCTATAGAATATCACGGTTATGTTTGACGTCCATCAAACGTACCGCCTAACTTTGTATAAAAAAAATTACTGTATAAATGTTTGATATGCAGTGCTTCATTTTTCGTTCAGCTTTTTGCCGTTTTGATATACACACGTGTGTTTTTACGATTGTTATCAGCCGATGGTAACACTAACAGGCAGGGAATCGATTTATAAAATCTTTTCGAAGATTGTAGTTCATTATAATCAACGAAAGATACAAAAATATAATTCGACGCTTTGATATGACACTTACTTTTCAGAAGTAACACTTTTTTCTCGAATACACGCATTGCCTTTGAAAAAAGAAAAAATGAAGAACAAAAAGATTATAACTCTTGATAGGCTGAAAGGCACAAAGTAGGAAAAATGTTGTGAAACTTGTATAACGCGGAGTTTATTGACGAAAAAAAAAATTCGATACGCGATCACAATGCAAAACCGGAAGCGATCTTCTGTAAAACGATAACTTATGTATGTGTTAGTTTTTAGGTGTACTACATTAAAAGACTATAACACGAGGATGCTTAGAATATGTTAAGCATTGTAATGATTATTATAATTATAATTATTATTATTATTATTATTATTATTATTTATGAATATTTTACTATTATCGAGATACGTATGATGTTTAAAAGGTAATGCGAACAATGTGGAAGTTTAAATAAAAATAATCTTTAAAGATAATTACTTTGCCTTACCTCTTTGCCGTGTTTAAAATAGAACAATTTAGAATTACAGAAGTCTGGAATTAGAGTGCAATTAAAACATTTAAAGGCACTATTTTCCATCTCGAATTTTGAAATAAAAATGTGAGATATGATAATATCTAACTACAAATTAAGAGAAAACACGCTAACAAATTATCACAGTTTATTGATATCAAATTCTTTATTAACAAAATATTCTGTCTTCTTATATACATTTATAGATAATTTGTGTTAAACCATTATAAAATCGTTACATCAAACGCAATTACACCTCTCAAAATAACATCACCTTAAAAATTTGTACAACAAATAACAAACACTAATAATTTCCGTGACCGCGTCTATTCGAAGCTTCATATTTGCATCATTAACAACACAAGCGCGTTCAATCAAATAACAAATGATAATAATCATATTTTATACACATCTGCAAATGCTTAACATCAAGTAAAACTTTACTTTCCGTTTAAAATAATTTATTGTTTGTAAAAGCAGTGATTCTCAAAATGAATCTTTTTTACTTCTAACTTACAAATTATTTAGATTATTTCGCAAAGAATAAATAAAGTTTGAGAATCACCAAATTCATATAAATTTCATATAAATTATAAATAAATACACATCTCCAATCAATCCAATCTTCCTATTCCATAATCTCAGTTCGTATAAAAAATATATGACGGTAACATGCAATATACAATTTAAAAATAATTATGAATCTTGCTAATTTCATATTTACAGAGACAAGTGGCACGTTATCCTCAAACAGAGAGACTGATTATCTTCTTATTTATTCCTCACATTATTAAAATCCTTTATTTGGATTGAACAAAGACATCTAAGACTCGAAATCTAAGACTTAAACTATATGTTATTGTTTTGGTATACATTATACTGATTAGGATATCATTATGTCGAAAGGTGATAAAAAGCACCGACGCAGTAAGTTGACAATATCATATAAAAAGATTATAGTCGAGAGTCAAGCAAATCTTGAATATTCGCCATTTTAGATACAAATTTTATTTCATTGTACCAAGAAACCTTTCCGCGGAAGTCAATGAAATTTTAATTCTAAAAACAGTATTGCTTACCGCACATGGAAAAATAACAGACAATATATTTGACAATTTTTGTTTCATTAAAATTTAAACGCATCCGAAAAGGTTATTTTAATTTGCAAAAAGATTTGAGTCAACTGTATAAATTCATATGAAAGTAGTCTTTGCATAGAAAATCTATCATGAAATTACAATCTTTGTGATTCTATAAGCTCGGAATCTCTGCAGAAAACAAAGGTGCATCTGATGCAGTGAATGTAGGTGATTTCCCTTCTCTTGCAATACGCAAGGCTTGGTGAACAGAAACTGTGTCTAATTCCTTTTGATTAGGTTTTTCATTATCTAAACAAATATCTGCTGCTCTTTTTCCAAATGGTTCCAATACTTTCACTCTGTAATCGACTATTGTCGATACAGGATTGCCAGTCAATCTTAAATTTTCTAAACAAGGGAGGTGGCCAATATTTTTCACTTCTTCGATTTTCTCGATACGATTGCAACTCACGTCCAAACCCTCTAATGAATACAATTTCGAGAAACTCGACAACGATGTTAATTTGTTCTGAGACAAGTCGATGTACACGATATAACCGAGTTTCGTATGCAGATCATCAGGTAGTGTTGTGAAATTGTTCGACGCTAAATACAACTGGGACAATCTCGGTAATAAAGTGATGTTGGAAATCTCTGAGAGCAAATTATTATTTAACGTTAAGCATTCTATATGCGGTAAAAGTTTAATCGCTTCATCTATAGTCTCTATTCGGTTATCACTTAGATCTAGGTGTGTGACTTTAAACCAGACATGTGAATCATTTGCATTTTCAATACTTTTATGCACTTCTTCACACATTGCCATTTCAACAATGTTTCTGAGCTTCGTATTGTTCACTTTTAAATATTTCACAGTATCTCGAACATTACCCATGTGGTATATATTATCCATTGGATATCTATTGATGATTAACTCTTCTATATTCCTAAAACTTGATAGTTCAATTGACATTGAAGAGGAATAAATATTGCTAGTTCTATAAGGCTCTGAGCTCCCTTCAATGATGAGACCAGTTAAATGAGAATTAAAATCCAAAACATGATTGAATTGATATTTTTTGTCAACAGCTTCAAGTGGCGGACAAGGCTGTTTCAATCTTTCACTGATTGCATACAACTGGAAAAAAATAGTTATATTATCTTTAAATATATAGAACAAATGCAAAAATGTATATTTACATAATTAATAAATAATATATGATTTACTGATTGAAGACACATAATCACCTGTATTACATTAAACTTGTAGGTTTTGGATTTTTGTAACAAATTTTCACCTTCTATAAAAAATTTTAAAGCCATACTCTGTAGTAGGAAAAATATATCATATGTGTGCATATCCAGAAATACAGCCAATTCCCTAGGCATTGCTTTCTTTAAATAGCTATATACTTCATTTAGGTAGACCTCTAAGCTTAGTCTACGTTTTTCTACAAAAGCTTCACACTTATTACCGATAAGTTTCTTTGGTGGCAATATATCTTTTTTAACATAATTCTCTGAGACAAGTTTATCATGAAGCTCAGAAAATTCATTGTACCTATAGAAATGCAAAAAATATAATTGACATTAATTTTTTCACATTACATCATGTTAATTATTTAAGACATAATTTTAATATTTCTCAATGTATAAAAGCAATATGTGAATACATATGAATACACACATGAGAGTATGAAATAAGAGTTTATCATTAAAATTTATCACACAAGTTAATTTATATCACACTTTAGAACAAGCTGTAAGGTTTAAATAAGAATAAAGTAAACACATTTATCACCTTTTTGATAAATTCAGAAGGACACAGAAGTACAAATTTGTTCAATTTTCTATACCATGTAGGAAATACAAATCAAATACTACCACCGAATAATTTTTTCGATGAGAAACAATATAGCCATTAGAATTTAATACATAACCAAAATTCTTTTTAATTATGAAGAAAAAATAAGAAACTACGTCACGATACATGAATCAGAAACACTCACCTGTGTTTTACTGTCCATTTGATCGAAGCAATCCTAACCTCGATACAATAATAAGTGATACCGACGACAGTGACAGCTGAAGGTATCTTAATGTGCACATTTTCCTGGTTCAATAAAAGACACGCCATTCTTGCAAAACGTTTTGGCAATCGTTGAGTATAGACGTGACAAGAGTTGTCGCTGGCTGTCGATTGGACCAAGAGGTTATCCCGGATCGAGGCGAGAGCTGTCAATATCAACTGTTTTGTATCAGAGGGAGGGACGCCTCTTATCCGTTTGGTGCATCGTACTCTTCGTGAATCTACCGAGTTGCTTTTTTTACTGGTCCTTCGTTAAGAATACAAGAAGATTTTAATATACAAATGTTCATGATTCATAGTACATTTGGAGTAGAAAAACGTATACCGTGCTACCACCTTGCGATCAAATTAAATACTGACCTGAAACGGACCGTATGCTCTACTATTCTTTCTGACAGGGGTTCTCAGATTTTTTTATTTTTAAGCTGCTTTCATATTATAACATGTCTTGCATGACATTTGATAATACATATTGATTAAAATTTTCGCTTATTTGTTATCAAATATATTTTTTCTAGCATTTATCTTATTGGATATAATGGAATATTTTTAGTTATCTTTTATATACATTATGTAAACATTTAATAGATTATAAATATCGTATTATCAACAAAATGCTATTTCTACTATAATAATACGAAAAAGAACATGTACATAATTTATTATGTAAAATTTTAAATAACGCTTACGATGTTAAATATTACAATGCAATATTAAAGGTTCGAATAATATTACATTAATCACAGTATATTATATGCTTGATGATTTATAGTGCTATAGATAATTAGTCATGTTCTTGATAACGAAGATCGAGTTAAATATTTACTTTCATTATCGCTGTTAAAATAACGCATTCTTTTTATTCTCAATAACCTTCTAAAAGTGTATAAAATTAAATTTATAGCAAAAAAATAGTTAACATATCAAAAAAGTTATTACATTAATTATTAATTAATAAATTGGACATTTATGTACATATGGTTTATTCATATAACATTAATTCATGACACGATTTTTAAAGATTCATAGATTTAAAAGATCGCCTTGTTACCTCGTAGTGACAGGTCGTGTTGCTATCAAATGGACGAACGCGCCCATTCACGGTGGTTCTCATTGGTGACAACCTGTTGCTGCAATGGCGTAATCAGAATTTCGTCGACACGGCTTGTGATCAATGTCCATGTCCACCATTAGCATTCTAATAGAACGCATCCTTTTTCCAATGAATCACGCTATTGACTTTCAATGGGACTTCTGTAATAGAATATTCGAGTCATTTTCCTGCCTATTGCATACATTAAGACAAGAAATAAATCGGATTGAATTTCGATACACAAATTTTCTCTCGTTCCTATATTTAGTTAACATATATTTCCCACTTGACGTATTTTAGTGATGTGATAAAATAAAATGTTATTCACCGAAATTCATTTTATATTCGAGCATTATATGTCAGGCATTACTAACTTAATAACTATGTTTTGCGTACTGTATATGTAGCATGAAATTTGTATAGAGTTATCATTATCTATTCAGGAAAGTATTTACGTATTATCATATGTAACACTAAACTACATAAATCGATGAAGATGAAGAACAAAGAACAAAACCAAAGATAAAATATTTTTATATTATTAATTTAAATATTTATTTTTACATTAAATTGTCTTTATAATATAGGGATAAAATATTTGAAAAAATATTCTAGATATATGTTAAATACATTAATATATTCTTATTTCGATAATATAGTCACGTAGGAAAGAATCCCACACATCTGCAAAAGAACCGAATAAAACTATTAATAGCTGCGTCAGCTGTTGCTTCACGATCTTCGAATACCATGAATCGAGCACGTAACTACTAATCACCATCCAATATCGATTCTCCAACACTCCTGTATCCTCTTAAGAAGTTCTCCGAAGTAGTTTTGGATTCTAAAAATAGACAACACTTTTTGCAAAGTGGTATTACTACCAAGCATTTCTGCGTTTACTCCGTCGACTTAAATTGGAAATTTACTTAAATAGTATCTATACTAATATAACCTACTTTTCTGTAACGTTTAGTCTGTACGTTTTATACTCCATCTTTTCTATACTCTATCTTTTCTGTACGTTTATATATTCCACATTTAGTAAAAAAATAATCAGCAGAAATTGTCATCGTTGACCGAAGTTCTTGTTAAATTTGTTTATACGTATATCTTTTAGGTTAATGTTGAATCAAGTTTGCTCTTCTCAGTTAATCTTGTTCTGAATTATATCCCATGCAATGTAAAGCATATACGCGGCACTGTGTCTTCAGAGGACGTTTACAGAGGGGATCTGAAAGGAATACCTGTGAGAACTAAGATAGAGTAAGCGAAACGGTATAAATCGCATAAAGCGACTGACGCGACAGGGAATTTTCTTTCCGGTAAGATATCGGCGTGTTTACGCCACTGCAAATCGGTGGATGCTGCGTCAGGAGCAATGGCGGCACTGGCTTACCTGGCCAGTACCTATCCTCCTCCCCTCCTGTTCGTACCGTCGTCACGTTCCTCAGGGCAACCCAACGAACCTGTTGCCCGTTCTCATCCAGTGTCGTGTCGCTTTCACGACGATCGTGCGCGGTTCATTGCGGTTGTTCTTCTACTTTGAAAGCTGACCGCTACAACGAATTCGTCTACGAAATTTTGAAGGATTCGTTTCGTGTCTTACGATCTTCACTGAACGTTATCTTCCCGGAGGAGTTTCTTCTTTCTTTCCCAGCTGGTGCACACAATTTTACCGCGTCTCATCAATCGATTCGGTGACCATGTATGATGACTTGTGAACGCCATGAGTGAAATTATCCAAGCGTTATGTTTTCATCGGACGATCCAGTAACTGATACGATTGGCAGTTCGTCGTGGCGCGCGTGCCTTGCGTGAAGTTTGGGAAACTTCTTTTATGTGCATCATGATCGGTAAACTAAGTACTTCGAAGATGACGATTCTCCGCGAACGGAATTATCGACTGGTTTCCTTGAGAATGGATGAGAGTGTACGCGGACTAAAGGAGACTTTAAGGATTGCACTGTAATACCAGCCTCGATGCCACCGTGGAAAGCGATTTCCTTGTCTTACATTGGCGTCTCTCTTTACCTGATGTCAGTGATGATTTACGAGCGCTGTCAGTGAAATTTTTAGATGGATGCAGTGATCGATAGAAAGGAACGTTTCATGATTTGATCGCTTGCGAATCCAAGTTTGGTATGGAACAAAATTTAAATCTCTTCGATTGTGAAATGTCAGTCAAAACTTTTACACTTTGAAGGATTATTGTGTTCCGTTAATTAAAACGAAACGTTACGTATAAAAGTTTCCAAGGGATGCATACTGTCTATTAAATATGATAAATTTTCGATAATGACTTATATTTCAAGTGTTCAGTTTCAATGGGTGTGTTTACATATCATGATTGGTATTTTCGTGGGAAACTACAAAGTGATATCAATTAAAATTTATTCTTCCTTCTGTATTTGAGAAATCGATATTTTCATGTCGATAAATTAGATATGCTTTTTAAAATATTTATATTCAATCATGTAAAGCATAAACTTTGAATTTTCTATTGTAATATCTTATTTACGATTTTCTATTTCGTTCGAACGATGTAATATTGAATGTAATCGATAATATTGATCGATTTATTAATGAAAACGCGTCTTAAAAGAAAATATCTTTCCACAATAGTCGAGTGATATTCGGCAGGTTTGCATGTCTTACCAAAAGAGTGCATTTGTGCACGCGTGAAGTGCAGTGAAATAAAATACTGAGTGAATTGCGCCGATTGTCTTTGGGCATCCATTATTGTACATTTCGGCCTACGTATTGGAAATTTAAAACACGGTAAGTTTGCATATACAAATTAACAATAATGTGTGTGGTTTAATCAGAATAGAAATTAAAAATTAAATAAACTTTTGAAATATTTAAAAATGTAAAAGTAATTAATCATAAATATACAAGATAATGAATTCTAATTTATTTTCAATTTTTCGAAGGTGAAGTTTCGTACATTTATAACTTGTGTTTATCCACCGAGTTAACTCTGTTGATTATATAACCAACGTTATTTCGTTCTCTATGTTATAATTATCGATAAGTACTCCGTTGATATATATATATATAGCTGTCGTTAAATGTGTCAGTTAATCACTAAAAAGATAAATGATAATATGAAATATAACCGGGATGCAATACTTTTATTCTTATATTTTTTCCTACATATATATCATTGAAAACTATTCCATTTTCTCAATTTCTTTATTTTATTTCCTTGGATAAATATTTTCCTCATTCTACTAATCTCATTCGTTTCTTCGTTCATAACCTAACCTTCATGTTTTAACACGTAACGTCATAAATGATAATCGTTCGATCGATGCATATTGATTTGTCAGTTCGTAAATTTCTGAAAAATGAGCGAAACGTTTTGAAACACGTTGAAAGTATCGTGATTCAAAGGAAATCAACGCATGACAAAATATCGAGATATTTAGCAAAGCGTGCGACGGCCTCGTGACTCATAACCTCGAGAGAACGACTCTTGGGCAGGTAGGCATTTCAGTGGTGGGCGTACTCTCGAATTCTTGTCGTGTCGTTAGCACTCAAGCGTACTAAGGAAACCATTATTTGATCATTGATTGTAAAAAGAAAAAGCTTTTTTAGACACATTATTCGAGATTGATATATTTTGTCAGGAATACAAAAGTGGCTTCATTTGCACATATTACAAATAATTCTGTTAATGAAATAGCATCAAAAATTTATATTTTTTAAAATAAATTTTGAACGAATATTTGTAACTTTTTAATATTAACTATCCTTAGTCTTAATAAAATTTATTACAATTGTTGACACTTGATTAACTTTCGAATAACAAATTTTTAGGAGTTAATGCGTTCCTCGCGTATATCTGCATTCAAATCTCCCGCAATTTTTCCCAACCTCTTCGATCAATTGGTCTCATACAAATCCCAAATCTTTTTACATCAAAGCAAAAAGGGAAAGGGTAGTTCTTTATTTACAAATTGAATCACTCGATTACTTTGGCACTAAAATTTACCAAAGTTGAGCAAGTAGAATTAATCTCTTTGGTTTGTATGCACGTGTATATAAACGTATATGAGGTGTGTTTGTGAAAAATAACAACAGTACATTTCTCAGTAGGGGCGAGTTTCTGACTACGCGCGTACACACACGGAGAAAACGGTGGGAGCGGATAACGAACAGGAGGACGAATGCGGAGGATGCTGGCTGCCGTGAAGCCGTTCGTCCAGGCAGAAGCTGAGACCGCAAGTAGAGGTGA